GTATTTTTAATGCACAACAGTGCACATGGTAGAAATGTGAGGCAGGTGGTGGGCTATATGTATCTACAGTCTACATATAACCCTGCATGTATCGGAATGATAATGTCTTCCCACTACTAACCATGTGTTTGTTTCATCCACCTACTGCATCTTGTCATTACCCAGGACTACAAGCAGCCTGTCTCTTTTTATGCCTATACAGTAATTAGCACAGTGAGTTCCCGGTCTCTTTCTGGGGTCTCTAGGCATTATTGTAATCCAGATAAATTAACTATATAGGGCAAACACCTTATTAAAATCAAAGCTCGGGGTACTGTTATTGAGCAGAGTCAGAATAAAAAAAATTGAAAATGTGTAATGATTCTTGGCTTCAGACCAAATTCAGCTTTGATATCAATGTTTTTCTGGTAGCACAGCATGTGTGTACAGGAACTCAAGTCTCACTGTTAATTTTTGATTGAAGACATGTTCCTTCCCAGCCTGCTCTGGGCAGTGTTTTTACTGGGAGCACGCACAAGCTTAAATCAAAGTCCATTAAAATCAATGGGAGACTTATCATTGACTATAGTGGGTGCTGGAACATGTCCCTGTTCAGATAATACAGGGGTTACACTGCTATGAGCAGCCCCAGTACAGGGTGTGCTGCTGCAAGATTCTTGGACATTTTCTTCTATCCCATGTACACCGTCAGTCACTGTCAGGCCCTTTGTCTTTACTCACGCCAAACTCCTATCAAAATACTTTTGCCTGAGTATAGGCCTCAGGATTTGCTTTTGCTTCCTGTTGACCAGGCAGAACAAAGGAGTTCTTCAGCACAAAGAGGATTATTTTTCATTGTTTCTGCCTCCGGGATATAAATGTGAGATAAGAGCCACCTGTTCAAGTGTACATAGCTAGTAGAGATCTTCCCTCCTTTTCTGCTTTTAATAAAGGATTATTTTTTGTCTCCATTATTTTGCCATGAGGAAATCTACTGGAGGAATCAATCATCTTGTTTCCAAAGTTTGTCCTTGTGCAGTGATGCACAACCACATAATAAAATCAGAATACAACTTTAAAATAGTTACAGGGAGTCTCCAGTGCTCAGACAATCAAATTTTAAATTCAGCACAAATAACTACTTTGGGCCGACAGTGAAGGAAAATGTCAGGACACTGCAATTCTGTAGCTAACTGAGAAGCTACCAAGCACTATCTTGGTTTTGAAGACTCTGAAGCCAAGCCAGAGCAAATGATCTGCGGAAATACCTGTGGTCATTGGGATGGAGCATTGAGTTTGGCAGGCATTTGCTGTGCCACGTTCTGAGATTGTGCTGCCATACAGTGATAGAGCTGTGGTACAGATGCTGCATGTTTTGCTGCTGGGAGCTCTGGGAGTATAACCCACTGTGTATGCAAGGTGTTTGTTGGGAAGGAGCCAGCATCTTGCAGTCTTCAGAAGAGTTGTGCTTCTGAATACAATCTCCAGTGTAGGAGTAGGAAGTGGTGAAAAGAGGAAAAGTCACTTCCTAAAACTGGGTCAGAGCATATGTCCCAAGAACCCATTTCACAAAACTTGCCTTTTTGTCTGTGGCTTCCCTGCAGCCAGTCCAAAACAGAACATAGTCTGCTGATGGGCTCCTGGAGTATAACTGTTTTCAGGTTAGTGTCTCTACAAGCTCTACATCATCATTTGGCCACATCCAGCTTGTTTGGTTTTAGGGAGAAAACTTCTCTCCTAAATTACATGGGTGAATTATTCCCTGACTGCAGCTATAAACCCTCAGCTGTCACATGTACCAGAGAGGAAACTTTGAGTGAAGGTTTGAAAAGAAGATAACAGTCGACATGCTTGATTTTGCAAAAGCATGGAATTAGCAGGAAGGAAATGTACCACACCTCACATTTATTTAGATAGCTGTGGGATTTCGTTTGCAGTCAGGGACTAAGAAGTACAATTTTGCACTGGTTTGAATCTCCTGACTTTCATTTTCACCAGCATACACCATCTCTGAATTTGTCCTTAAAGGCACACAACACTAAATTGTTCTGCTGTTGAACTATACTACATAGTGACAGATAAAGCAGAAGTGAAGCTCTTCCATTTAGTTCTGATACTTAAGTTAAATACAGACAGTCAAAAAGCCCAAGGCTGAATCAATTAAATCTTCACAGGTTAGTCTAAGCAGTGTAGATTGAACCAATAAGCAAGCGAACAGACATTTGTTTTGATTCTGGAAATGCAGCCACATGCCTACAGTGGCTCAGGTCAGACGCTGGGGAGATGGGGACGGGGACTAGAGCATACATCCCTGCTCAGCTGAAGCAGACAGATTGGGCCAAACCTAGCCCACCCACCTTGCAAGAGAGATTGCGGGAGAAGTGCAAAGCATCCTGGGATGCTGGGGACTGTGAGTTAATTTGAATCTGGAAGGAATCTGGGACAGAAGTTCAGTGAACCAGTTTAACCCAAATCAGTTATGTCTGATACTACATCCATCCAGGATTTATCTTAAACCAGTTTTGGCCATTTTGATAGCGGTTTACATACACTGAACTTGTTGTGTTACAGATCTGAACCGATCACTTATACCGATTTTATGTGCAACTTCTGCCCCTAGCCTTACAGCTGAGTGGCAATGGCTACATAAATAGTCATAGAATTGCAGGTGGTTGGAATTTTGCACATGTGGCTGTCCATGGCATAAGTAGTTGTATATAATTTGTCCACTGCACCCTCAAGTATTATATTCTTGAAAGAAAATTGTGGTTTTCTATATTTTCTCATAGAGTTACAGTATCTTAACGTTTGCTACAGGCTGTGGAAGGCAATTAGACAGCAATGTGAACTTACAGACAACAGGTTCACTAAACCCATGCAAACAGGTTTGGGGTTATCCAGGTATGCAGAAAACAAGATACCAAAAGGTTGCATGTAGTAATAAACAATAGTTTGTTCTCTCTCCACTATTGCTGAATACCAGAAATGGGGTGCAAATTCTCCTCTCCTTTACACTGATGCAATGCTAATACCTATGTGTTTTAGAAGCCATGAATTAACAATTCTAAAAGCAGCTTTAAATATAAAGCAGATACAGGCTGACTAGGCATCTGTTTATGTAAATTAATAACAATTGCTGCAAGAGTAGCAATTATGGGTAGCATTTTGACTTTGTGCCTTCTTTCTTATTATTCTTTTTAATTAGGGATGCTGTACTAAGGATGAAGCCAGTCACTGTGGGAGAGAATGAACACACAGATAGTTGTAGACAAGTAGTTAGGTTTAATCATGTCCTTTGTCCCTCTGAAAGGCAAGGAGAAAAGATAATAGGCCAAATCCTGCAATTCCAACTCAGTCCTTTCCCCAGCCAAAATTGGTATAGAAACCAGTGGTCTCCGAAAGGACTTCTTCACATAAGTACCAAGAGTAGAGTGAATATAGTGACTGTCAGTTTCAAAGACTTTTTCTCATTTAGAGTTCAGTTTGACACAAGGTTTTCCCATCTCCTGCCCATTATGATCATGTACTGTTCAATGAAGTAGTATTTAACACCAGAAAGCAAAGTTTTCCTCAAATACTCACTCACATTTGTGTGATCTCGTGACTGTTTCTGCCAGTAAACTCTCATACCAGTCAGAATACATATGGAAAGCAAAATCCAAGTCAACTTAAACACAACTGATGTGAACTGAATTTATATTTGAGCCTTTGCATATAGAAAATAGTCTGTAGTATTTGAACAGCTCTAATACCAAATGTCCAAAAACCTTATTCTAAAATTGAATATCAGCTGCTGTAGGGGACATGATTAGACCATCAGAACCTGACTCAGGAAAGCATGCTAATGAAGAGCAGTACTTAAGCATATGCTTAAGATCAAGCACATGCTTAAAAACTGAGCTAAATAGGGCTTGAATTAAGCATCCTGAATTGTGGCTTAAATGTTGCCATTTAATAGGATATAGATGGGAGTTTCTTACAATAAATACAATTCAAAATAGTAATTGTGCTTGCTGTGTTTTTTCTAAAATCTCTGAAGGAAGAGGGATTCATCTGTACTCAGTCATCAGCCACAAAGATGAAATGTGTAACAAATTATGAACCAGTGTATAGATTCCAAGTAGATACTTTTCTTTACAGAATAATCTGAATCATTTCTGAATTAAGAAAGATGCACTAGCACTATGGAGGAGTTTTACAAAGGGTTCTCCCACGATTCAGTTTTGTAAAAGACTCGGTATGTTACCTAATGAAGGGCCTGATTTGTGATCTTAGGTGAGAATACCCTGTGCATTCATTGCACTTGATGAGGCCTTATTAAAGAGTCCCCCATGGGTTTAATACTGTTTTGGTTAGAAGAGGTGGAAGTAACATACATTGTGCGAATATCTGACCATTGGAGCCTCATTGCATGCATTTGAGATGGAAATTCAGGCACTCTGATACAAAAATCATAAACATTTATTGAACAAACGACAGCAATTTCTGGAGAGCACTGTGCAGAAACTGGAAGAGATGCAGTGATTCACCTCTTTGTCACAACCCAAGGGTGTGATTTTTTGTTTGTGTGTGCTTCGGCACTGCTGAATTATTTCCCGCCACTTGTAGCTTTCTTTGCAGGGTGCATTTCTTCGTTGCAACACAGAAATGCATGTTGCAAGGAGTTCCCGCCATTTGTATTCAAATTTGCGCCCCACTATTGGTCAGTTCTAAATTATTCCTACGTGGTGGCTAGCGATTGGCTTGCTAGCCGTATAAGAGGCTTGAGTGGTTTCTGCCCAAGTTGGAGGACTCCATGAACATCAGGAGGAGGAGACTTCATGTCTTGTGAAGCTCTCTAAGTGCTGTGGAGCCTATCGGACCAGCGTGTATTTCAGGAAGGCTATAGAGGTCTGATCAGCCTCTAGCCTCTCCCTGTCGCCGAACGATCCCTCGATGTACCCTTCCCTGCGTGCACAAGTTCCACAGAGCCTAGCAAACTTCGTGTGAGTGAATCCAGAGCTCTTTCCGAGTCCTTAAACTGGGACTTAAGTGAAGTTTTCCTGGAAGTTTTCCAGCCTGCACCGTGACCATCTACGGTGTAAGTAAACAATCTTAAATCAACCATTAAGCGTCCGTGCCTAATTCTAGCGTGCTGCCTGCCTTCCTTGACCTGGCGTGTCCGGGCTGCTGGCCACAGCCCACCGCGCGAAAAAAAGGGCCTCGGACTGCTCCCAGCCCGCACACTCTTAATAGTCCAAAGTAGCACTATCTTTTTAGCAGGCCAAGTCACCTTATCTTTGAATATAATTGAAATCCCAGCACCCACCTGGTATGAGAGGAAAACAAAATGGTAGCTTAAATTTTCCCTATTTTTCCTCAACTTAAATTTGCATAGTACTGATATACATATAGGTTCTTTTCCTTTAATCCTAAAGCCAGATTTAAAATTAAATGGAAAATGTTTTCTGTCCTAACAAATGCAAGGGATACTATAGAAAAGGGATTAAATTTTCAATAAAAAGGCTGTATACTAGAAAGCAATTTAAAAGAAGGCTGGTGTCATATCAAAGATAATTATTTAATTTTCATTTGAACCCTTATGAATGACTCATAATCTCTGTTGTATGCAGAGCTTCCAAATAAATGGCTAAATTTAACTCCTATGTGCCTTAAATAAGAAACATGTGAAGAAATTGTACTTGTATCTCACAGTTCCAGTGTAGATGGAACAAAATACGTGGAGATAGGTTTTTTATATTACTGTTTCCAGTCAACCTAAGCAGCAAAAGGCTGGGTCAATCCTCCCCCTCTGTTATTCCTGTAGCCTCATTCTGGCAATTACAAAGAAGGCAGAAAGCAGTTGCAAGTAACTCCTTTAACTGAAAATTGCACCAGTTTGGAAGAGTTCCCAACAGCTTCAAACTATTAATGGGAGCTAGATAGCCAACTCACCCAGGAAACTACAGTCATTAGGCTACTCTTTCCTTTGAACAGCAACACCTTATTTAATTTATGTTTTATGTTGCCGTCTTTCATTAGTGTATCTAAGTATCATTCCATAAAAAACAGTAGCGATAGTAAGTTATTTGTGGATTTAATGGTGTCTCTGGAAGTTCTGTCTTTCTAACCCAAACTCTGCTTGGGTTAGATAAGGTAGGAGCACTGGTGGGGGTTGTGTGTGAAGGGGGATTTCAGTGTTCTGAGTATCATTCCTCTGAAGGAAAAAAGAGGAATGTTTTGCAATTCCTAACAATTTGTGTGGGGTTGCACAAGATTCAAAATAAGAGAAGAATAAGCAATCTAAATAAGAGGTGCCAAGTAGAAAGGGCATATGGGGAAATCCAGAGGCAGGAATATTCTAACCTGAAAATCCAAGCTTTTACTTCTTATTGTTATGAGCTCATAACTTGTTAGCCACTGGGTATAAATATTCATTCAAGTACTTCCAGAAATGCAGAGAGGCTGAGAAAACAGAAAGCTAGATGCCAGAACTATTATTTTCTAATGACCGATTCACTCCAGATTACCAGAAATCAAGTGAATGCTTGAACTCCTACTTCTCCACAATCCCATCTTTAACATACTAAAGGACCCAGTGCTTTCCTCTGTTGCCATTTTTGGGATGGTTTTCAATACCAATGACTTCTGTCAATTCAATACTCCTAAATCAGGAGTTTAATCAATACTGAGGGTGTATGGCAATATGACTTCAGGCTAGGAAATCACTTACATTTGGGTGCAAGTAAATGCAGCAAATTAACTGTCTGGCACTGGGTTCCTCTTAACATTCAGTGACAGTTCAAAACAAAGCAACACATTCCTAATTTGGACTGGATTTAGCAACACACTTAGGCATGTATGTGGGTCCCACTGGAAGCTGGTGAAGTTTAAGCAGCTCTTTAAATTAACCATCTGATTATTAAGTACTTTGCTGAATCTGGGCTTGAATTCTACTTCTTTAAATTGTCCGGTTGATCTGATGGAGGTGGAGAATAATCCTACTTTTCTGAAGCAAAAGTTCTTACCATATCTGGAAGTCAGTCACACTTTGAGGCTTTCACATAATTTCTCCCCTCTAATAGAGTGCAGGAAGGAAGGGAACTTCAGGATCTTCGGATGAAATTGAATCTAAGCAGACAAGAATTATATTTCTTTCATAAATAAAAGGCCTTTCATAAATCCAGGTACACAGCCTTGGTAAGCAATAGCTGAGGAGGATGGGTGTCATTCTTTAGAAGGGAGACACTTCCAACTTAGTCAAATAACTAGTACTTCCGTGCATCAGCTGCCTTTCAGCAGCCCTTCAGGTAATTCTGATCGCAGAAGGAGCTTGTTCCGATTACTGTGCAGGGGCTTCCTCTTTGCTGAGGCTCCTAGACCTTTCTCCAGGCCCCCAAGCTCTCTGCTCTGCCCTGCCCCTTGTTACCCACGTGGGTTGGAACAAGGCCTTGCCCCTTTGCTCTTCCATCTTCCTCCCTCTGTAAAGCTGTTTCCCCACAGTCATCCTGGCACAGGATTAACTCTGTTCCACTCCTCATACAACAGGGGTGGGCAATTATTTTGGCTGGAGAGCTGCTTAACGAGCCTTGGTAAACTGTAGAGGGCTGCAAGGGTAGCTCCACCCCTTGATGGGTGCCCTGCCCCCTGGTCACCATCTCGGGACTGGAAGTCCCATCTCTAACCCCTGACCTTTGCCACCAGAAGTCCCTCCCCATGCCCCAGAACTACTCAGTTTGGCGGGGAAGATTGCCGTCTTGAAACTAAAAAACAAAACAAATCAAATCATATACTAAAAAAATAAAATAAAATAAAATAAATCAAACATCTACTATAATTTATTTTAATTATATTTAAATATATTTTGTCCTGGTTTGTATTTGCACAGTATATATAGAGGTGATTGCATAATAGCTCAAATACAGTCTTACTCTTGTATATTGTGTGGGGGGGAGTGGGTGTGTGTATGGTGGCATGTGAGGGGGTGTGGGGTATGTAGTTGAGGTGGGA